AGCTGCCCCAGGACGAAGGCGGTCGCTCAAATAGATTGAAGGCATAAAAGGGCGACGCTACGCGGCGCGCGGACAGATTTCAACCATGGAGTGCGTGCACGCTCGGTCAGCGATCAAACGCGCACACCCATGGTTGAAAATTGCCCACGCGCCGCGTGCGCGTCGCCTTTTATGCCGTCAACCTTAAAGGGCTACCGCTTTCGTCCTGGAGCAAATATTATTTTTTCCTTCCTTGTTTTTTCTTTTTTCAAAAAATCCTTTAAAATATCGATGTTATCAGGCATTTAACAACAATCTCCTCCCTCTTGCTGCTGAGAAGAAACGATTTTTCGCCTACATCGCGGAAAGCTACACGGATTACCCTGCAGACACGGTCATCGGTGATGGGAAAGGAGTTGCTGGCATGAAACCGTGCAGTGTTTTGTAGGTCTTACCACGATACCTCTTTTGATCGGAGCAGTTTAACCTCTAAAATCCATCACTTCTGCAGGTACCTCAGCAGATACAAAGCAGAAGATGTCATTCTTCGACCTGGACTGAAGTACACTGGATTTCTTATCGTAAGAGTGGACAAAGATGACAAAGAAGAAACGCAGACTGGAGCTCATTATAGTCGGATGTGAGAGATAGCATTTCTGTTCGTCGCATTGTACTTAAATTTTTTCCCATTAAGATTGGATCCCCTGAGGCCGAGATCCTATCGGCAACTTCATCTCAGTGGACCTGCCTACGGCTTTAGTGGATATTTCAAACCAGTGTTTCTGGAGCCCGAGGATGGTAAGATATTTCTTGCGGTCTGCAATTTTTCCGCTTGTTATTGTAATTTACTTGAAATAATAAATCAAACTTCAAATTTTCGAAACAGGTCAAATCATAATCGGTTTATGTCAGTTTCAGAAGGAAGCGTGGTTGGCACGTTTTTCACTGTTTTGGTTCCACTTCTCGTCTTCCTAACCATGGCGTCCGTATTGGCTCTATTTGTGCTGCACAAGTTAGTTGAATTTTCCTCTATTGCAGTTTTTTACTTTCATGTTCAAATTTATTACCTGCAAAATCATAATTTGTTTTTCCCGTGTCGGAGCTTAAAGGCACCTTCCACCCAGATTTTCGACTTCCATGTTTCTGTCGTTCCAGGACCTTCTCATAGCCCTGATTCCAAATATGAAGTTGAGAATTTGCGATAACACCGATAAATTCTGTTCCAGAGAACCCTCAGGCCGGTCATCCGTAGCGGTGCTTGTATGGGCGCGCGCGAAGGGGCGGGCATTGCTAGGGAAGGCGGTGCCGAA